AGTTGGAGCTACATAGGCGAAACAGGAAGATCCCTGAAGACGAGAAAGTCCGAACACGTGAGGAATGTGAAACAAAGCAAGAAGGGGTCCAATGTCGCAAAACACGCATGGACTCAAGATCATATTATTGACTTTGCCAATGGCTGATTAGCTTGTCACATATGCGCTTATGTGGTTCAGGAAATTATTTATGATGTCACTGGGCAGTCATGATCTTACAATTAAAGTCAATTTAGTGAATCTTTATTTTTGTATTTTAAAGTATAAGTTTAGCACCAATTCATATACAGCAACATGACCGCAAAAGTGGCGGAAATTTTGACTTAAGATAATTCCGCAGTTTTGCATTGCGCACTTCTACTGCGCACATCTTATAACTTATAATTTCATCTATAATACGTACCGTTTAAAAAAATATTATTTTATGACAATTTTATATACTTCAAAACATCTTTTGTTACATTCGGTCAAAGAATTACGTTAAAGGGGTCCTACAGCCATTTCTTAGTCGAAAAGCCACCTTAAGTAGGGGACTCCACGGAGATTCGTTTGGCTGTATCTTACATGCAGTATCCATGAGCATGAGTACTTCCGCACACCGGAAGACGCATGCATGCCGAGCTGCGTATGTTAAGTAGCGACAATAACAAAAAAATGTAAACAATACTTACTTGACTAAAAAATGACTGTAGGGCCCCTTTAAAATCAATGTTTTCAAAAAAGGCATACAAAAGTGTAGCTAGGGTTCCCTTTATCCGTAGTATATTTATTTACTTGTATTTCACGTTTTAAGCCTGGCGCACACGACGCGATTTTAGTCGGCCGATAAAAATCGTTTGACATACCGATATACATCGGTATACTCCGCACACGATTACGAACAAATACGCTCCCTGAACTGTAGCCGCCATGTTGCAAATCATCACAGCATAAAAACTGATTGGTAATATGACTTAAAATTCCACCGATAAAAATTGTATAATATCAAAACGTTTTGATGTTGTCCTATTAAAATCGAGCAACAAAAATCGGTTAAAAATGACACCGCACACAAAACGATTTTGTTAGTTTTAGTCAAACGATTTTTATCGGCCGACTAAAATCGCATCGTGTGCGCCAGAGTGCCACAATTACCTAAAAAGATCGGTGACACCCTTTTTTAACTGATAATTTATTTCTTTAATGCATTTCACATTTCATATCCGAAATTAAAAGAAAAATCATTTCTGGATCGTGAAAAAAAAGCTTTATCAATGCATGTTCTCAAAGAAAGATATGTAGAGAAATGTGCAAAAGACATTTGTGGATCTGGAATTGTGCACGTTAGTAGTTTCATTTTGCTCAAAACACAATATTTTTTCAAAAATAATTACAGGATAGGTTTACTAAAGCAAAATCCTTGCTAAAAACGTCAATAAATATCGGGCTGTTGTCATTTTGCTGTTACTCGTAATGAGCGTCAAGATAGCGCCATATTGAAGTAAAGGTGGTATATTGTGATTGTCATATCTTCTTAACGAGTTCCGTGACCCCGACTTTTTTGTGTGATTTTACTTTAAATATGTCATAAACTCCATGCCTGGGAAGTTTCAGCACAATCTCATTTCGGGAACAAGTACTGCTGAATTACCTTAAAAGAGGCCTATAAAAAACAACCTTTTCTTGTG